GCAACTCAAGCGTCACAGAAGGGTCACAAGCCCAGGTGATTGACTGGTTTGATGGTCTCCCCTAAAGCTACATCGCACTTGCTTTTCATAATAATACAAGGATTCTTCAAGAATATGGTTGCAAGTATGGCTAACTTTGTTCTGATCTTCAGTTGCAGCAAGGTACTAAAAAAGCGGCAGTCAAGATCCTGAAGAACTTCGATGAGGCGATAACGGTGGACATCGCCAGTCTGGACCCTGAGTCTCTCTACCAGAGACCATATGCTGGGTGAGTCAGGGTTTGAAAACATCATGCTACACTTCCTTCCCATCATTGGACCTCAGATTGGTACAACATAAACAACAAAAAGGATTGTTCAAGGCCATTACTACATTAAACATTCGTTGATCATGGATATGTTTTTAGGCCTTGCAAAGTTGAACACTTTATACATCAAGGTAATATTTTTTCTCACTGGCTGACATAGATGAAAGTGAAAATACCTCCTTTTTCGGGCACATAAAAAGTCAGCTAAAATATTCTGTACAATTTTTTTTTGTGGTCCGCCTGGGCCAGCAGAAAAAGATTCTTATTGTTGCCTTATAGCCTGGTATTATGCACAAAACACTGGATTCAGATCCAGATTCAGCTTTTCTTGCTTTCATCTCAGAAGAATGACCTTTGGGAAGGTGAATGAGCTGGGCCAGTTCATCAGAGAGGCTGAGCCAGAGCCAGATGTGAAGAAATCCAAGGGTAGGACACACACACACACACACACACGCACACGCATTTGCTCTTGAGAACTTTTTTCTCTTCTCTCTCACTGACACACACATGTTTTGTATTGTGTGAGTTGGCTCTTAGTTATGACTTATGCTGAAGTGCTCTTGATATCTTCAGTTTGAGTGCAGAGAGTGTGTTGCCATGGCGATAAGTAGCCGGTGATGTGTTGAAAAGCAGGATTCACTGCTCTGTCCAGCTCACTCGCTCTTACTTTATTTCCTTTCTATCAGGTTCCATGTTTTCTCAAGCAATGAAGAAATGGGTGCAAGGAAACTCGGATGAGGTGTGCACCTGCTTATTTCGTTCGAATTACATGTGTCATCTTTTCTAATGTCTTTTTATTAAGTGGAAATGGATTTAAGCTGGTTATAGTTCATGATATGTACTGTCTTTGTTTTTGGTGTGCCAGGCACAAGAAGAGATGGCATGGAAGATTGCAAAAATGATCGTCAATGATGTCATGCAGCAGGGACACCAGCGAAGCCCTGAAGTGAAGGCAACAAAAGTACATCTTATTTGATCTTTGCATTCATAAAGATTTGTTTCTTGAAAAATTTAAATTCTGTAATTTATTCAAGTCGTTCCAAAAACCCAGACTTACCTTCTTCTGCGGAAAACAAAGGCACTTCCTTAGAATTTGTACGGTTCTCTTTTTTTATAGCAATGCACCTAAATTTGGTTTTACCAAATTACCAAATTGTTTGAATTTAGCAGAAAACCAAAAATTAATTTTTTGGTTATATTTGGCCAATTGCATAATTCAACCCGGTATACTGTTCAGAGTGTTGTGTTCTCAGGTAACAAATTAAATCAGTTGTAGTAAAGTTCTTCGACAATGAGTCGCCTCTCAATATTTCCTTTTATATATAGTTATATATAATATAATATAGTAATATAGTTATACTATAATATATATAGTAAATATTTCCACACTGCTGACATCGTGTGTATCTGTTATATCTTATCCACATTATGTATATGAAATAGTCCAAATGCATCATCAGGGAAGTGCTAATTAAATCACTGTTTTGATCAATGCTTTTGGTTCTCCAAAACACTTATGGCCAAACTGAATATTTGTTTTATTTATTTATTTTTATTTATTTATGTTTCAGCCGAATATTTTTGGTAGCTTAAAGTTTAATGCATTACTATTTTTCACACAATAAAGGTTAGTGTAGACGGATGCTTTCCAGCAATAAAAAAAAGACAAATTTACAAAAGGCACAATCGCCAAAAAAAAAAAAAAAAAAAAATTTTTTTTAGAAGTAGACCATACAAATCTTTGGAAGACATACAATAGCTTTGTGTGAGGAACAGCTCTACAATGGAATTCATGTTAATTATAGTGGGTCAAGAAGTGCGTGACATTTTGTTTATTACACTTTAATGAATTTTAAGATAATAAACATGAGATGTTAAAATGGTTAACCTTGAGCCACTATTTCATGTCCACGTAATTATTGATGTGGACATGAAAAGCTGTGTAAGAAGTGGTATGACTGTACAACACATTATCCCTTTGATTTGAGTCATGTTTGAACTTATTTTAGCCATGCAATAAATGGGATAATAATCATAATATACATCCTATGTTGTTATTGCCTGGCTGGGATTATTTTGCGATAACCAGTTGTTAGTACATTATCCCTTACTTAATTTACTTAGTGGATGCCTCAGCAAACCACAGTAAGGCAAGTTTAAATATACTGAAATGTGCGTTTTTCTTATATGAAAAAAGCAGTCTCATCATTTCGCTGAACATCTCCATTTATAGATGGAGGTTTGGAAGAAGATGAGGGTGAGAAAACTATGACAGAAGTTTATTATTGGGTGAACTAACACTTTTGGTGTTTATTGTGTAGCGGCATTGGGATTAGTAGTCAATTTCAATTTATTTTAGAATGACAGGAAGTTGTGCAGAATCTGACCTGTTCTGTCTTCATCAGCTATGACCCTCTCGTTAAAGTGTGGAAGCAGCTCCTACCCTCCCTCCTGTCGCTCTCTGCATAATGACTGGAGAAGCAAACCACCTGAAGGCGAACACAGAGCTGAACTGCATTAACATATCAGTGAGGACTTTGAAAGAGGCATTCCATGACTTCCTGCATGTGTTTGTGTTTGAGAGCGGGAGTGTTTAGATAGGCACACTAATAGCCAAAATATGTTTTCCGTATGATCCACCCCATCATTTCTAGCACTCCGAAGGAATTCTGTTTATTATTTGAAGAGGAGCTAAATGAGTTTAACTACAGGCATGAATAAACCCGTAAACAAACCAGCGAGAGCTGTCGCACAGCAGACGAACAGAACTAAATTTCAGAACAAGACTGAATGAACACTGACTCAAACATTTCAAAACATACCTGCTGTTGCGTTTAGCTGTTACCATGTCGGCCAACAGGAAGTGCACAGGAATCTGAACGGGAACTACAAAGTGGCTGTGACTTAAATATTTCCTTCCTCATCTTAATTCTTATCGCACACTTCTCTTTTATCTTTCTTTTTCATTAGCTTTTTTTAAAGAGTGGCTATGAAGTGCTTAGGCCTTTTTTTTAGTACAAATAAACAGAAAAACAGAAATGCATAAATACCCAAGGTGGCTATGTACAGTTTTATTTACAGATTTACGGTATGCTATAGTGGATGTAAGTCAGCCAATGCCAGAGACTGTTCTGTCCCTCTCTCGTGGAGCTAAAGTGACTGATGTTACAGTTCAAATTGGAATGGGAACTAATGAACTCGGGCCTGGAAAATGTTCCCTGACTGCAGAACTCCCTCTAGAACCCTGTGCAGATCTGATTCTAGACTGTAGAGATATACAAACTGAACTGCTAGGGCAGTGTTTATCCCCGTTCTGTATAAATGTGGATTCCTGGTTTACCGCCATATATTAATGTTAGTTCTTTTTATGGTGATTGTCTTTTTTTCCCTTTTTTTTTTTGTATGATATGTCAAACTCTGTCCAAGCAAATCTCAATGATCTGGTTTACCGCCATATATTAATGTTAGTTCTTTTTATGGTGATTGTCTTTTTTCCCCTTTTTTTTTTGTATGATATGTCAAACTCTGTCCAAGCAAATCTCAATGATTACTGTTCCTTTTGAAACTTGTACTTGGACATGAAGTTATTGCTTTGGACCTCATTGAGATGTGGACGAGAAACCGGAAAAAGACTTTTGGTACTATGTACCACTAATATGTTTTCTGAAATATATGTGTACTTATTCTATAATATATTTAAATGTGTTTGATTTAAATACATATATTGTTGAAACGTCTCTTGACGCAGGCTTTGTCTTTTGTTTTTGTTCATGGGTTCGATTGAACAAAGCGTTTTACAGTTACCTGTGTTGAAACCTGTGTGAAAATTATTGATTTGCACTTTGAAATTGGATTTGTGTTAACGTATTGAGCATAACTCAAATAAAATGAATTCGAAGAAAATAAGAATCCTGTAAAACAGAAAAAAAGAAAATGTTATTAAAATAAAAAACTTTCAAAAAAGTCACTTCTTTTTTGCTTTCTCAATTTAAGTTGTGTGGGCGGGTCTCAGAGACAAAGGTTCTCATTGGCTAGTTAGTTTTGGAGTGACATTACCAATTTTCTCATTTGTTTGTAGTTTGCACGTTTTTTAAAATATTCTTTCCCATTCAATGATTAAAATTATTAATGAATCTTTCAGTCTTCACTTTTTAAGTATTTTCAAGCATTTGAAAGAAATTGCATTCACCTTCGCTCGCAAAAGCATTGAAATATATTATACAAATAATATATTATACATTGAAATATACATTGATTGAAATATAACTTTTCCTTCCATCTCAATTTTTTTTACATCACTGTCTCCCTTTAGGTGGTTTCTAGTCAGTGAAATATGTTGAGCATAACTAGAAAAAAATATATATTACAGAAATGTCCATGATGCTTGTACTCTGTGATGCTCAGTATTTGTTCAATATTTGTTTCCATTCTCATACGTAAGTAAAAAGTCCACGGCACGGTAAATCACCAGCAGAGGGCAGTGTAAGACACGCTACGCTTTCACACTTTTTGAAAATACATCAGAATGCTAAAACGAAATAAAACTATAAATAATACCGCATTTTATTGTTGTTTACGTTTTTATACATTTGGGTTGCTGATTTATACTTGTTCATCCTATATTTAATGTGCTTTTATCGGTGTGTTTGTTGATGAACGAAACGCAGGGCATGAAAACTATAATGATGGCATGAGTTTATTACACGATTGAGGTTTTGAAAAAAAAAAAAAAATCTGCGATTCAGATTTTCATGAATCAAAAACTCGTTTGAACACCTTCGCAGTGACGGTGACGCCCACATCCAGGTGACTGAGGCAGGCGTGCAGCGCAGTAAGTTTGAGCTCGCACTCCTGCAGCGCGCGAGCTGCGACTCAGAGCTGAGGAAGATGATGATGATGATGGTGGTGGTGGTATGTGGGCTGTGAGTAACGCAAACAGAGCGGATTCAGATCTTACTACATAGCGAGCACCTGCTGGTGGCAGTTCTGAGAGCTTGAGCTCTGGGTGTGACGGTTGTCTTTTGTCCTCCACCTGCTTTCCTCTCAGATGAATTAACTGGAATATCCTCTCTATTGAACTGGATCGAGCTGGAATTACGTTTAACGTTAATTGAAAAGTTAGGCGTGCTTATGCTCCGTAGTTCACTGGTGCATCTGTGTGTCAGCGGCACTCTTAGCGCATCGGTAACTCGTGTGTTTTTGTGATTATTGGTGCTCGTCTAATGTCACCCAGTGAGTGAGCGAGCTCCAGATGCACTCGCTGTTTGATCGGAATTGGAAAGGGCTGGGAATCGATCTGTCTCCGGTCTCGCTGCCCCACGTTGCCGTGAGGATGTTCAGCTGTGTCGGGTGTTTTTGGGTGCTCCTGTCCTCCGCCCTGGTCGCGATTTGCAGTTTCAGTTTCATCTCGCCCGCATGGATAGTGAAGGACCATCTGAAAAACAAGGACTCCGTGAGTTTTGGGCTCCTGTGGCACTGCTCCGAGTCTCTGGATCATATGTACAGATGTTACACCTTTGGCGGGCTGGGCAAATTTCAAGAGATTCCTTCCAGCTCTTGGCAGGTAGGCTGGATGTGGATATCTATGGTAAACGTGCACTTACACATAAAGGTATGAAATGTGTTGGCTATAAAAATTGAGGATACCGCAACTTTGGAATAAAACGTAGCCTGACCTGCAGAATTATTACAGCATCAGTCTTGTATGGCTCCTGCACAAGCTACATAGAGGAACTTTTCTGTCCTAGGCTTTGATTTGAAAGAACATTGTTTTGTTTAAACATTTTTTAGTTTTAAAGAATCGATTGAAACAGATGAAAAGTGTATTTATTTATACTTATTATTTGTTATATCTTATTTTTGAAAAGTTGAAATGTTAGATTTTGATCTTGTTCTCCATTCAGACATTTTAAATTCCCCTTTATATAGTAAACTCTTAAAAAGTGTTAACATCAAGGAAATGCAATGTTGCATTTTTAAACTAAGCGATCTTGATTTCCCCCCCCCAATTGGTATTCAATAGATGAAAATTACTTTACCATCATGCCAGCATTTTAGTTGAGTTGAGTTTCTCTAAAAAAGTTATGTGAGAGGAGCACCTCTTTGCCAAGACAGAATAGTGAAAGTTTGAACATCATAAATAATGTCATTTTGAGTTTTTTTTTTTTTTAACATAACAAGAGTAGCTTTGTCCGTATTTGAAAATCGAAATCAGAAAGAATGGATCTATTTGAATTTTTATACACTGGAAGTTACTTGATGCTTTTGTTAGCAACTCCAAGACTTATACAAAGATCCTCTTGAAGGCAGTCTCAAAAAAGTGAAACAATTTTCATTACAATCACACACAATATCAAGAATCCACATCATCATGCCAAATTAGATTATACCTCTTGGTTGGTTGGTCAAGTCTATATTCAGATCTTTATTCTAAGACATGTAATGAATGTTTTAACAAAGACAAAACCATAGTGTGAAGAAGTTTCCTTTTGAAAGATTTTCCTTTTGAATAATCACCTTTATACTGCTTTATACACTCTTGCTTTGGAAAAAAAATACATGGATTGTGAAATATATAAGCAAAATATATAATCACATGGCATAGATGGCTCTTGGCACATTCCTTGTTTATGATGGGAAAGAAGAGCAAACATTGCTTAGGTGCAGGGCATAGTAGTTTTACTCATTTGACAGGTCTATTCTTAGCAGCAAAGTGCATCAGTCGTTTTCAATAATTCAAAGCTCATAAAACAAGAGTTGAAATTGGACCATTTCCAGTAAATGCTGATCAGTCCTACTGGTAAAAATTAAAACATAGTTACATAGCCTGTTGAAATGTCCTTTTGCAAGTTTACAACCATGTAAAGTTTAAATATTATCTGGTGTGTCTTAAAACTGGGTCATTTGAGAAAGTCCATCATCTGAGCAAAGGGGACTGTGTCAAATAAGGCTCAAGATTTCTGGAGAGGTTAGTCAAACACTGAGTGTTTAGCGGGCTTTATCGGACTGTCCTCACTAATGTTTGTAAATTCAGAGCTGATTTGTCCTTGGGGAACATCTGCCTGCAGCAGCTTCATCATAGAGTATTTTCACTGCAGCTACTGCTTCTGTGCAACTAGGCTATATGATCATTATAATAGCAAAAATATAATATTTCTTTCACTTATATGAAATGCCCAAGAGGTTACATCTTTTATTTCACACTTTTATCTTTTCCATTGTCTTTGGTTCATTTTGACCTATTTTCAGGAATAAAAAATACAATATAAATACCACATTGTTTTTGATATTGAAACCAGGGGCCCGTTCTTCGTACGTCGCTTATTACATCCAAGATGAAATGTCATGATAACTGATATATATATGATATCATCGCGCGAATCAGGATCTGGCTAATTGGGTTCTCCGAACGCACCTGTTGTTGATGATTAGTATGGCTGGATTGAGTTATCTGAGATAATTGCGTGTTCATGGGTTGGTTTAAAAGGGGCTATGTATCGATACTCGAAACCACGATCAGCAATGCAGCGATTGGCTGGCGGCAAGACAGCAACGTAATGACATCATATAATTAAAAAAGGCACCTGACGAAAAACTTGACAAATTTTTGGACTTTTATAAGGAAACAGCCAAGCAGTGTATATGACTTTCTTCTTTCAGCATGCGTGTGCGCCAGTGAGTCTCGTGAAAACCAACGTTTGTTAACAGGAGCAAAGGAAGCAAAGTTCGTCTGAAAGAAGAAAGTCATATACACCTAGGATGACTTGAGGTTAAGTAATTTATGGGCTAATTTTCATTTTTGGGTGAACTAACCCTTTAAGCTTACGGACCTGTTGCTATGACAGCAACTCCGGGATGAGCTTCGAAGAACCAAACAATCCAAGATCATGCCAAATCGTCAACAATCAAATCCAGCTAACTGAGTTAGCGACGTACGAAGAACGGGCCCCAGGCTTTGTCACACTGTTAGGATATCGAAACCAAACATATTTAACAAAAGTGTTTCACTTGTATTTGAGCATTCAATGTTTTTTCACCTTGCAAATCAGTTTACCTTAAAATATGTAGCATTTAGTAAGATTTGTACTGTTTGTACCTCACATGTACTGTTTTCCATGATAGAGATGATAAGGCTAAAGGTCACCTGGAGTAAAAGGCCCCTAGGATGTAATTTTTTCCTTAACTACCTGGCAACAAAAACACTAGAGCTCTTTTCTAAACACCTGTACTATTGAAACAGATTGTTTTGCATAAATGGGAAATGTGGATTTATTGTGATGGATATGCAAAGTGGGCTCGTATTGACAGCTCCTGACATAATGGAGATTTATGTGTGAAATACGTTTGACCTAAAACTGTAGCTCTGTACAGTGTTCATTTTGTTAATTGAACAGAAAGTTATGAAATATGTCAGAAAGAAAAGAGGACACCCATTCGCTAAAGTTGTGCCCAGATGTTTTTTTATTATTATTATTATTTCTTTTTATATTCAGTTACTTTTTTACATGTAAGGAGGTGTTTAGACCTGTTGTATTCTATTCATGATTTCCAATAAGGATCACATTTCTTATGACAGTATCTTTAAAATAAATGTTCCAAAAATGGGTTTTCTTTGGGTTCGCCAAAGAATCTTTTAGTGAACAGTTCAGTGAACAGTGTGAAGAACATTTTAATAATCTAAAGAAGCTACTTCCATTATAAAGAACATTTAAAATGGAAAGATTCCATGGATGTTTAAGGTTCTTCAAGGAATCAAAGAATTAAAGGAATTAAGGAATTAAAGAGTGTAAGGCAAAAGTTGTGTTGTCAGTAAACAACCAATAGAAAGGAAAAATCACACACGAGAACTTTCTAATATCTCAGCTGATGCTCCTAAACGGCTAAAAGGTAAATGGAGATGTTTAACACAGATCTCAGCAACGTCACCAACTGTGCTTAGATTTAAGTAAAAAGAGATTTTAATATAAGCTCATGAGTTTTTTTTTCTTATATACAAATTATATAACATTTTGAATGCTTTGCAGAGGCTTTCCATTGACTTCAATTGTTTTTAAATTAAGCTACATCTCTACCCTGCCTCTAAAAATACATCTTACACAATCCTCTTCATGGTATTAAATTTTAATTAGTACATTATTTTTTTCAGTTGTCCCAGAAGGACATATATAAAGTCCATAGTAATGTAGTTTAGCATCTGTGTTGCCCTGTTTTCAACAGACCTTTGTCATTTCAGATAATACAGAAAACAGTAGTCTTCCTCTTGTTCCCTTAATACCCTAAAGCTCTCTCTCTCTCTCTCTGTTTTCTCTGAAGCACAAGCAACCTTGTGTCTTATGATTTATGTATGGATAAAAAAAATTAGCATTTGAAAGAAGATATTAATAAATTGCATTTCTTGGATTTGTAAAAGAATTTGAAGGGCGGAGGATAAAGATGTTCTGTCCATACTCAAGGCATTACAGAAGGAAAGAAATGAATGGATTTGGGAGCAACGTTTGGCAGTGATGTGTGCGCGGCTTCTGCTAAATGCTTCAGTACATAACTGAGTGTACACAGCTCTGACTGCTGAATCATTTATTTATGAGCATTGTTAGCATTGCCATCTTTGTTGTTTTGGAGGGTTTGATAATGTTTCTGACTAAGCTATAAAATGCACATCTTTAAAGTTGATGTGCATTATTATGTTTTCAGTGTTAAAATACTTTCTCCTCTCAGTTTAATGTGCTGAGACAACTGTAAGTAAGTCATTGGTAGATTGATTCCTCAAAGAGCATAAACACTGTGCCTCTGTGCTGCTTTCAACATTGAGTATATTTGGGTGTTTGTTTGGTTGACTTCTGAATTAATCAATGGTGTGAGTTTGGAGCGACACTGCTTGTTTGGACCAATGGCAGGATCGGGAGCCTCCTGAAAGCCTTTTTAGGAAAAATAGTAGTTGACGTTGCTCACCTAATTGTCTCTGCACATTAAATGTTTATTAACATAGAAAATGATTTGTTGATGAAGATCTGTTGAAGCTATAAGCGGCGATTATCGGGGTTCAAGCACCAATGACACATGTACAGTGGTGGCCAAAATTATTAGAACACTAGTATTTTCACCAGCTAAAAAATGGTTTTAAGTCGGTTATTTCTATCTTTTGCTGTAGTGTGTCAGTAGGAAATATCAGTTTACATTTCCAAACATTCATTTTGCCATTAATTGTAATAATCCAGTGAGATTTTCGTTTGCACAAGGAGTCTGACAACAGCCAGTGCTCCACACAGAGATCTGATCTCATCATCATCCAGTCTG